AAGATGCCAATTAGTATCAAAAATGTTCAATAAATAAAAGCAGTAAAAAAATTAATAGAAATAGGCAAAATACCACAGGAACAACTTTGCAGGTAAGTATCACTGATGAATATTTGCATACTGTCAAAGCATCCTCCAATAACATACTTACTCATTTCAAAAGGTAAAAACAGTAACGCTACTTAGGAAAAATGGGACAGCAGCCATCAGTTTAACCAGGTGATCAAGGTTAATACCACCAGTAACAGAACTTATCAGCATCATGTATCCTTGATATGCAATACAGAAAAGAGCACACTGTTACTTCTGTAGTACTCTTGTTAGAAACGAGATGATGAGACAATGTAAAATTATCTGATACACCCCAACTGAGTGACATTCTAAAAAATAAATGACGAGCACTTTTTAAGCAAGGAACCCTTTTAGTATAGCATGTTACACATTGGGCTACTAACCAAAAGGTCAGCAGTTCAAATTCATGATCCATTCCACAGGAGAAACACAAGGCTTCCAGCTCCCAAAGATTTACAGCCTCTGAAGCTCTAAGTGGGGTCGCTATGAGTTAGAATTGACTTAATGGACCACCACCACCAGCACCCCTCATTAGTAGAAGAAAGATTAGGCTTTTGTTCCCACAAAGATTTATAGACTGGGGAATCCGTAACAGGGTCGCTGAGTCAGAACTGACTGATGGCACCCAACAACCACTCTTTAGCAGAGTCAAGGTCAGGAAAGATGAAGACAGGAAATGTCAATTGGAGGAGACTAGGATATGACTACATGCAGTGTGGGATACTGGATGGGATCCTAGACCACGGAAAGCAAATTGGTGAGGATGGTGGCAAAATGCAAACAAGGTCTATACATTTTGTCTGTGTGTTTGTGTGTGCACTGAATATATAATGAAACACTTGAAATTTCAAGCTTTGTGAACCGTACAATTGACTGGCACTTCTGTTCATCATGGTGAGTAACCATGTCCACTGGTGTTAGGTGCTGTTGAGTCAGTTCTGACTCATGACTCTGTCTAGTCCTGTACATCATCACCATCATTCCTATACCTGAACTCACTGCTGTAGGCACTGTGTAAGCCCATCTCCTTGCAGGCCTTCCTCTTTATTATTGCTGACTCTCTTCTTTAGCAAGTGTAATGTCCTTCTCCTGGGACTGGTCCCTCCTCATGCCATGGCCAAAGGACATGAGTTCAAGTCTTGCTATCCTTACTTCTAAGGGGCATTCTGGTAGTACTTCTTCCCACGCAAAAATGTGTGTTCTTCTAGCAGCCCATGGGTATTTTCAGGATTTTTTGCCATCACCATAATCCAAATGCATCCATTTTTCTCCCACCTTCATTATTCACTGCCCCGCTTTCCCATGCAAATGAGACCAATGAAAATACCATGGCTTGGGTCAGACACACCTTACTTTCAAGGTGACTTCTAAGTTTTTTTTAACACTTTCAAAAGGTCTTTTGCAGCATATCTGCATAATGCAATGCATCATTTGATTTCTGAAGTGTTGAGTTCATGGTGTTAACTGCAGGTCTAAGTAGAATGACATCTTGACATCCTCAATCTTTGCTCCATTTATCATGATGTTGTTTACTGGCCTAGTTGTGAGGATTTTTGTTTTATTTTGAGATGCAATCAACATGAAGGTTGTAATCTTTGATCATAATCAATAAGTGCTTCAAGTCCTTGTCACTTTCAGCATGCAAGATGGTGACATCTGCATATCACAGGTTTGGAGTTTTCCTCCAGTCCTGGTTGTGTGCTCTTCTTCATGTTGTCCAGCTACTCAATTTGCTCAGCATAGAGACTGAGTCAGTATGGTGAAAAGATACAATTCCGACACACATCTTTCCTGAGTTTAAACCGTTCAGTATCCCCATGTTCTGCTCAAATGACTGACTTTTGGTGTAAGAAGAAATTCCATAGAAGGACAATTAAGTGTTCTGGAATTCCCATTCTTTGCAATGTTATCCACAATTTGTTATGTGTCTTACAGTTGAATGCCTTTGCATAGTTAATAAAACACAAGTAAACATCCTTCCATCATTCTCTGCTTTCAGCCAAGATCAATCTGACATCAGCAATGATACTCCCCATTCCACATCCTCTTCTGAATCTAGCTTCAATTTCTGGTAGTTTCCTGCTGATGTACTGCTGTAACCATCTTTGAATTATGTCTGAAAATTTTACATGTATACAATATTAGTGACACTGTTCAGTAATTCTGCATTCTGGCATGGCTCCCATCCACAGAACTCCAAACTCCCAGACATCAGGGTCTGCGCTGGGGGTGGAGGAGGGTGGGAGCTGGTCATACTTCTGGTCACCAGGGGAGCACGGGAAAAAGAAAAACTGTACTTTTTCTGTCACTTGTGTGAACCTGCTCTGCCAGGCCTCCATCCACTGCCAAAGCTGTTCACAAGATGGTGGAGCAACATCTGGCCAGCCGCTCACCAGTCTCCCTCTCTCACCAGCCCTGTTTGGCCTCTCCTCCAAGCAAGCACTCCATCCACCTCTCTAACCTTTGTTCTTAAGTTTAAGATGCCCGTATTTTCATCTGTGTCTGTTTTATTTTGTCTCTCGTGTATCTCTGTTGTAGAGGGTCTACGTAGTAAGTCTGCCTAGTCCACCATCTTTGACCATACACAGTCAAATCTATTCTTGAGATCATCTTGAATTCAGAAAGGATATACTCAGGGTCTTATTTTAGCCCTTCTGGACTTTTCTTTACTTCAACTTTTAACTTGCGTGTAAGCACCTAATGGTCTGTTCCACAGTTAGCTTCTAGTGCTTTGATGATCTTGAGTTTCTCCAGTGTCTCTCTCCACAGATAGCCTATTTGATTCCTGTGTATTCTAGTTGCTGAGGTCCACATGTATAATCACTGTTTATGTTGTTGAAAAAAGGTATTTGCAATAAGTAAGTCTTTGGTTTCACAAATTCTATCTCTCGTTAAGATTGCCTATCTATTGTAAGGCTGCCCATGGCACTTCCAATATTCTCCTCCAACACCATAACTCAAAAGCTTCAATTCTTCTATGATCTTCCTTATTCACTGTCCAGCACATGCATATGAGGTTATTGAAAACACCACGGCTTGGGTCAGGTGCACCTTAGTCTTCAAGATGACATCTTTGCCCTTCAACACGTTAAAAAGGTCTTGTGCAGCAGATTTGCCTAATGCAATATGTCATTTGATTTCCTGACTGCTGCTTCCATGAATGTTGATAGTTGATCCAAGAAGAATGAAGTCCTTGACAACTTCAATCTTTTCTCCGTTGACAAGAATGTTGTTTACTGGTCCTGTGGTCGGTGTTATTTCTTTCAGTAACATTTGTTTTCAGTGGTTCTTACTTCCCTGGTTAAATTTACTCCTAGACTTTTTTTTTCTGTTAAATACTATTGTTAATGAAAAGCTGCTGTAAAGCTTCCTGGTTGGTGACCATGCACAGGACAGAGTGTAACCTGTGAACTCTGTGAGTCATTCAAGCAAATTATAGGACCCAAAGCAATAGGAGGGGCCTCTGGTTTGAAGTGGAGAGTCAAGTACACTTACCAGCTTGCAGCTGGTACCCACTGACCTAGCCCATGGTGAATGGGGATGAGAGAGAGAAGTGCTGCACGGAAAGCAAGATTTTTCTACAGGATGCCGTAGAAATTTAGCATCTGAAGTGGGTGATGCTAGTCTCCTTGAACAGATTCATGTAAGCATCCAAAATATTAAAAGCTAATAACAGGGGAAAGACGTGGGCAGGGGAGATACACATGAAGTCCTACTTTTATTCTGTTTATGTTATCTGAATTCTTTACAATGAGTACACATTGCATATGATAAGAGAATTTTGGGAGGAAAACAATAAACTAAAACCACAGTAAAGTGTGTATTTAGAAAAATACTTCTTGAAGGATTCTTCATATCAAGGATCAAGCTTGTTTCCTCAGTGCACTGGGTTGATAGGGATGGGCAACTTAAGACATTGGCTATCAAAATGAGGGGCTATAAAAGTACCAAGTGGCTGGCTTATAAGCTTTCATGAAGGTGCTTAGTTTCAGAATGACAGAGATAAGGTAGAATCCCCACTGAACAGTTTTCCTCTTGTCCAGACGGGTCTGATGAAAGGAGATAGGGGTTGATGGGAATAGGAGTTTATAATTCAATTGTGAATAACTGTTACGAGGACTAACAGTGATGGTCATGCTGTAAATGTAGAAGAGGTATAACTATAAAGGGGAGCAGTTAATCTTACATTCCAGGATCAGAGGACCCTAGGATCATCAAGAGGGAAGAACATGAATGGAGAGTGGATCCTAACCTGAAAAACGGCGACAGCAGAGACCGTGGCAGAGGTGATGGCAGGGACAGAGCAGCTGAGGACTTGAGACCCATGAACAGAGAAAGGCTGTGTGCCTGTGGGCAGGAGGCTAACTTGCAAAATGTGCTCTTTGGACATTTAAAAGAACATATATCTTCTGTGAGGTATGAGTACATCAAAATTCAAAAATGGGAATAGAGGTAAATACTGGTAACTCATGGAAGGGACCGTAATCATTGCAACAAAACAAAGTATGATTTGTTGAATGTAAAATTGGTATTCTGCCCTATAAACTTTCATTCGATTCACAACAAAAACTTTGAAAGAAAAAAAAAATGCCTTCTTATAGGAATGTGTCATAATGTAAAACTGATGATCTACTGTGTAAACCCCTTCACCCAATTCACAACAAAAGTTAAAAAAAAAAAAAAATTTTTACATTAACCAATGTAGGAATAATTTGTCATTACTGAATAAAATGCTGCCTAAATAAAACACTGAAGTAATTTTTTAGAGTAATCCAAAGAAGAACAGCCAGTCCTGCCTACCTTCTGAGGCAGGCCTTGAAAGATAAAGAAAATGTCTATGCAGAGTGAATGGCACTGTTGTCCCTGGTGTTAACTGGTTCACGGAAATAAAATTTTAAATGAAGGAAAAATTTTTAAGTTTCACTTACTTTCTCATTTTTTATAGTTACATAAAGGTAAACTTCAAAAGTATCTTCTTCCACAGCACATAACTTGGCTTCCACATGGGTAGTAACTAAATAACATAAAGAAAACATGGATTACAGCTTATATTAAGAATACAATGGAAATAATTTCAACTACTTCTCCTATTGGTCTCTGCTAACCATATAAGATTGCCCAGCATCGACTATGCAGTGGCTCTTGGGGGGATGGATGTGGATGTGGGGTTCGGTGAGTTAGGGAAAGACCCTCCTGACTAGGAGTAAATCAGGTACTTTATCTCCATCTTCTGAAGTACAGTTCTTCGCCCTCTCTCTCGTTCCAGTGACTCCCCAATCCAAATGTCCAGTCATCTGAGAGACAGCCTGTTGTACCCTCCAAACGTTCCTGAGTCAGAGGATTTGGCTATTTATTATATGACCCAAACAGCTGCTCCATTTACTGAGCTTTTCCTTTGCACCAGGCACGATGCCAAGTCCTTTTTAAAACTTATTTTCATTTAATGTTGATTTCAACCCTTTAAGGTAAGTACTGTTATGTCATTTCACAGGTGAGGAGACAAGACTGAGAGAGTTGTTAAGTCAGCTGCCTGAAGCTACTCAAAAGTGGCTGGACAGAGTTCAAAACTAGGTAGTCTGCCTTCTCCATACCTTATTCTCATCACCAAGCATCCTCCAAGGGGCTCTGAAGGGCCCAAACTCCCATTTTTACCAAATTCAAAGTATAAGACTTTTCCTCTAGCAAGACAGCCAGCCACCCAAGTGCCTGGCTGTGCTCCAGTCACCTCACACCCACTAACAACTCAGACTGCAGTCCTTGGGGGGCGCTGTAGGATCAGCCCTGGCCTGCTAACTGCAAGGTTGGTGGTTCAGACCCACCAGCCCAGCCAGTCCTTGGAAACCCTATACAGGGTTGCTATGAATTGGAACCGACTTCAACAAAACTTACCAACTTAACAACAATATCCTAACCCCTAACAGTGAGGAGCCACACAACTGTGCATGTCTCTTTATGACTGATCGGAGGTGGTTTTGTTGTTTTGAATCAACCTGTATAGAGTTCCTTGGAGCAACTGGTGGGTTTGAACTGCCAACCTTGTGGTTAGCAGTCCAGCACCACACCAGGGGTTAGGATTGATGCCATAAATATAAAGCTGATATAAAAATCCATACATCTTAAATAAGCAATAATGATTATCACACAATAAAAATCCATATATGAGGGGGCTTCACAAATTTCATGGAAAAATGCTTTATCTTTTTATTTAATTTTTCTACAAACTTTATGAAGACCCCTTGTTCTATCTCTTGTGCACGAAAGACGTTTGGTTTTCTATCAACTACAGGTTCAATGAAATGCATGTAATTTTGCAGGACTGTGGCTTCTATGCAAAATGAAGACGTGTCCATTAATACTATGAAGGAGTTCTTCATTCAAACAGCCTCTTTCTATCTAAGCTAAACTGCCAATTACTGATACCGACCCATCCCCAAAGCTCCAGAGATGCAGATCACAGCTACACATGGTGCAGGAGAAACTCCAAGTAACTGATGGAGGCAGGCAGACCTCAAATCCCAGCATGAACACGAGATTAGACGACTTGGGCTGCCCCCCATGACTGTGCCAGGTCAGAGCACACGGCAGTGAGCACACAGCAGGGACCACACTGCAGTGAGCACACAGCAGGGACCACACTGCAGTGAGCACGCAGCTGCCTCACCTCTTAGAAGGTTCTGGAAGTACTCAACAGCAGCACTGTCCCACTTCTTGGCGGGCCTGGAACAATGAGCAAATGTAACTTCGTTAGATAAGACTCTCAGGCTGCTCTACCAAAACCACTTTGTGAAAACCTCTATCAGATAGATGACTATGGTGTTCTCTTTTAAACACAAGATGAAGGTAACAGAGAGCTTGGCTTGGCTTTGCTCTGGGTGATGATCCCATCTACCTCTCTAGAGTACATTCCTCTCTAGGACTGCTGTCTGCACTAACGTAGACTCAAGTCCCAGAGGTCCTGGAGACATCACAATGCCCTGTGCCCACTCCCATGGCACCATCTGTCCTAATGCCATAGCCGTCACACAGGATCGCTAAGGGTAGGCTCTGAGTACCCAGTGCCCAGCACAGGTTGGCAAGAGTGAAGGCTTGATGTATGTTGGCCAAACCAACATCCTAAAAGGTGGAGGTGGGCAAGCTCTGATTCCCAGTAACTAACCAGTCACCATCAACCCCACGGCATGCCTCACTCTGCCAACTTTGGCTCCCTTTCACGGTCTCCCTTTTTTTGATCATCTTGCCTTTTCTACATCTTTCCTGTGCTTCAGAAAGCAAATCAAGAGAGCTGTAAGCAGTGGAAAAGTGGAAGAAATCAGTATTTGAAAGCAAGGAACAAAAAGCAAGTACGTATGGCTGGAGTGGTATGTTTTATGTCTCTGCACTGGTCTTGCTGAGCGGTGATGACATCACCATTCTGCACAGGATGTTTGCAAGATCAAAACGAAGTAAAGTACATAAATCACTTAGCCCAATGCCATGATCAGTATTCAAAAATATTAGATGTTTTCCTTTTTTAACTAAGAAAGGAGCTTATACACACATTAATTTAGGAAAATTACAAAGGGTTTCTAAAAAGAGGCAAAAAATAAATGAAGATAGTAGTTCTAACTCTAAGTACACATAAAAAGTTACCCAAGGAAAAAGCAAACAACCTAAGACAAAAGTCAACTTAGGATATAACTCTCTCTCTCAACATACACACACACACACAAACCATGTGAAGAGATACACAACTTTACAAGTCAGAAAAATATTCAAATTAAGACAAAGTAACACATTTACTCAGTAAACAAGCAAAACTTTTAAAAGCCTGATAATATTCAAAGCTGTGTGGGGAAAAGAGGTACTATGTATACTGCAATGAAGGAGGGAAATTTGACAAAATCTTTCCAAATTTATAATGTGTTTATAATAGTTCTGAATGAAGCACAAACACAAAGGTAACCATGCCAAAGATGACGGAACCATATAATACCGTAACTTACTCTTCTTCACCTCTACGGAAGGTATCGAAGGCTCTAAGGAGCTCTGGTAGCATAGTAGTTACGAATTGGGCTGCAAACTTTAAGGTCAGC